ACTAGCTGTTACCCGCAACTTCGTCCGCGGAGGTTTTGCAAGCAAACCCCATTTACATTCAATATTTCAATAACCATAGTAATTGTCATAAAACACCTACCGCTGAAGAGAATTGCCGAGAATCAAACGAACTATCTTCAATTTGATCAATTTTCTGGAACGTTTACAATCGTTCTATAATCGAACCAATATGCAATAACAAATTCAAATTTAAAACGGATCGAACATTTTTAAAATCGAAATGTCTGAAATGTTATCAATTTAATACACCTAAGTACTCAATGAAGACTAAACGTAGTTGAAAACAAAAAATTGCATCTAAAATAGTATAGTAGAAGCCGTTTTTCCGGTTAAGTCTTAATCCTTTCCCTCTCCCCCTGCGGGGGAATTTCAAAAATTCCCTTCTTAGTGTGTGTTTCCATGACGTACCCTAACTGTCTACCAAATTTCACCTCTCTAGGTTAAGCGGTTTGCTCTGGGCGATGATGAGTCAGTCAGTTAGTCAGGACAAGCAATTTTATATATTTAGATGTGCCCACCTTTTAATTTATATTAAAATTTTTTGTAATTATAATTTATTACAAATATTTAAAATTGTGGCCACAAAACTTTGATCGTATCCAAACCCCAATTAACTGAGCTTTTGCATTATACGAGATAAACCTATAAGGGAATACTACTAATAATTTACAAAAGCTTTGATTGACTTGCGTTGAAGTGACTTTTTTTATTTTTACTCTCCGTCATGTAGGCATTAAGAAATTCCTCCCGTGTTTGTTCTGGGTTTGGCTAGGTCTGCAATGAGGACAGCTGGATGGTGAATCCAACGTATCTGGAACAGGCTGCAAGTAAAAACTGAAGTGACTGCAGAACGTTATGGCAAAGAAGGGAGAAACTGCTATGAAATGAAACTCTAAAGGATTTTTTAAAGAGTTTTTAAAAATGATGATATATGGTGACTCAAAGTCTGCATAGTTATTAAAATCATCAAATGTCCTGTAATATGTAAAAACATGTTTCAGAACACTGTATATATTTATCATAATTGTCATCTTATACACCACATATATAATAAGAAATTAAAAAGTAACCAGCATTATACATAAGATAATGAATAACATTATTAAGATAAGAAATTTGGAACAAAAAAGTATGTACAAATACAAACTGTTTAGAATAAACTTAATTAAGCAAATTCATGCTAGTATTCTGTAGCATGAATTTCCTTTTTGTCTGATAACTTCAAAACTAGTTTCATCAAGAATAAAATATTTTGAAGTGTCTTCTCCTATTTTAAACATTCCTTCTTGCAAGATAGTTCTTATTGAATTTTTAGATGTAGCATCATGGTTGTGTATTACTTGTTCTAATAAATCCCACAAATGACCTATGGGGTGATTATGGAGGTGTATGCCATTTGTCTTTGAACATTACACAGTAACCATTCTTGCACAATATGTGAAGAATGCTTGTGATCATTGTTCTATTGAAATATGAAGCTATTCTCCAATCCCAATTTCTGCACACTACTATTAAATTTTTCTTTAAAATATTTAATCATATCTGTTCATTGTGCTATAGATGAATTTTAATGTTCAACTCCACCAGCTACCACACTCTCAATCACATTAACACTCATATTTAACAGTGGCATATGTATTTTTTACTTGAAATTCTGTGTTGGGCTTTTGCCACACACATTCTCTTCCATCAGAAGCAAATATATAATATTGGCTATATCATCACTAACACATGCTTCCAAAAGTCTTCCAATTTCCCTACATATTCCAATAGAAAGAAGCTTCAAAATTTTCATGATCTTAAAATCAATAGTTTGACAGTTCATCCATGATAATTAGTTTCTCTTAAAACATTGAATATTTTTTCTATACTAACCTTCTTATTTCACATGTAGGTATTTCTGCTGCTATTTACTTTTGGGTTTATTTTTACTTTCTTTGTAATTTTTCATTCTTTTGGAGATGCTAATATTTTTATGATTCTGATGTAGACTTTGAGAGTACTACATTGCCTGTTGCTTTAAAGTTATCAATTACTCTTTGAATGCTGGAATAGGAAACATTATTTGAAAAAGCCTATCTCATAGTCTTTTTCCTTCATTATGAAGTATAATTATTAATTGATACATATTTAGTGACAATTCATATCAAGATTTCAGAGTATCAATATGCATTACATGATCTTGTAAATTTAGTAAGAACAAAAAGCAGTCATAAAACAAGTCTAATTTTTATAATGAACTAGCTTACCTGTCACGCATTGCTACAATCTCAGAAGAAATGAAATTCAAGCAAACTCATTATAATAAAATTCAATTTACATTTTATCATTTTTATTGAAACTTATTATTATATTATTAGTAGCAGGTGGGCCTGGCATTGCTCGGGCAAAAGTAATGATAACTAAGATAAAGATTATTACGTTACAGTCAACCTTACCCGTTTTCACAGAATGCAAGAATTGGGTCCCCTTGTTTCCAGACTAATTAGAGAATTTTTAGATTGTTCTAAAAATATGTTCGATTTCCCGCAAAAACGAAAAAACTGCATCTGCGCCTGTAAATCTTGCACGTCGCTTTCTCGTAACAATTCCATTGTTACTTAACACTTCCATTGTTGATGGAAGTGTTAAACCTTAATCCTGTCTTTCTCCCCAGGGGGAATTTCGAAAAATCCCTTCTTAGTGTGCGTTCTCGTGATGTACCCTAACTGTGTACCAAATTTCAACTTTCAACTCCTAACCGTTTGGGCTGTGTGCTTATTATTATCATTATTATTATTATCAACCTGTCTCAATTTTTATTATAGATTCCTTTCCATCAGGAAAACAGTTCAAAGTGTCATTTTAATTCTATTTATTTATTGGAGTGCTTGTGGATACATGATATTTTTTGTTTTTCGGTCTGGTGCGTACACGAATAAATCACAAGGTTTTCTAACGTGTGAGCTGGCCACATACAGTTGTCCATGCAAGAAGCACAGATTCTCCAAATCTAGCCCACACACTTGCAGCGATTGTCAGAAGTGCGATATTCCCCATTTTTATATATCTTTTTAATCCTTTACAATTTTAATTATTTAATTGCTCCTTCCTCTCTTCCTTGGCATGTTGTGAAATTTCTGATAGCTGGATAAAAAACTGTTTTATTGTAATTTGTCTTTTTAAATTATTTTGAGTTGATATTAAAATTTGGAAAAGGAGATCCCTAGATCAGTAAAATAGGTGAATTTCCTCCTACAACTTTGGTTGTTGTTTAGGATACAGTTAAGGTTTAACAAAGTTCAAGCGAATACGCAATTAGCAAAAAATGTTGAAATAAAGTGATTAAACAAAAATTATTACAAATATCATAAATAACAGTTCACAAATGCATATATAGAGATATTTTTTGGAGGGGGGAAATGGTCTTCACAATTCGAAATCGATTGAACTCACGATGAAATGATCGTATACACTTGCGCCATCTATTGTAGGATAAATGTACTATGCCAGAAACCTTTGCGGGAGTGTATTAAAAACTTTCGAAAGTTTCATGGCAATCAGATAAATGGTGTGGTAATGCATGAAGAACATACAGACAGACATACATTCATTTTTATATATATAGATAATGATTAGTAATGATAAATTTCAACTTTTAGAGGTATTTTAGGGTGAGAGTTTGAGAATTACTAGTAGGCAGACTTTTTCGGCACACATTTTGTAGACAGGTTTATAATGCTAAACATAAAACAAACTTTTT